TCTTGAAACTTAAAACTTTGCTCTTTAGAACTTTGGAGACACCCTTAATAGATTTTCCCAATGCAATACATCTTTTGGTTTGGTTTTGTTTTTTTAATGTTGATTGTGGATCCAAGCAAGATGAAATTATTGAGTTTCAATCTTTCTTCATTTATTATGATGCTGCCCATTGGCCCAGAGGTGAGGGGTTTTGTTTTCTTGATGTGGAGGTGCAGTCCATTTATACTTGAAATGTAAATGTAGTGTGTTAAAAATGTAAATGAGCTTTTGTTCAGCTCCATTTTGAGGCTGAGATTCTCTAACCAAACTTTCCCAGGAGGCCGTCTCATTGTTGCTGTTATGTACCATGGAGTTGCAGCTAAAGTGACTCACAGCTGACCCTCCAGGTTTTCAGAATCTGTAAATTGCACAGGAGATTAGATTGCCCATCTTGCTAGCAAAGCAGATCATGAATTTGAACCACAAGTCTTTGGGTTGGCAGAACAACTTAACACTAGGCTACAAAAGCTAAAAAAAATGGTCATAATGCATGTAGATTTCCCCACCCCTCTCCGCTTTACCTTTCCGTTTGGGAAAACTGAGTCCCAAGGCTTTAGAATTCAGGAAAAGTAATGGGATTTTAGATAAGGTTTCCTGAAAAGTGGATGAACATTCTTGCCAAAACAACAGATCTTGGAGAAAACTGCAAAAGCAAGCCAATAATAAATAAGAGCCAAAAAAAAGCAAACGTCTATTGCAACAGATGAAAAGGTGGTTAAATAGGAAAACATATATAATAAATGTATAGAAAAACATTGAACTATTTTTTAAATAGTCAAAAGACTCAAGATATGTGAGTAAAACTATTAAAAAGTATGTACAAAGTGCTGTCAGAGGTAGCTCTGGTGGCCTAGTGGTAAGAAACTGCACTGAAATCCCAAAGGCACTCAGTTCAAATCCATCAACTGCTCCATGGGAGAAAATGGGCAATCTCTTTCGTACAACTAACTGCCTCTGAAAACCCACTGGAGGATCAGCTATGGGTTGGTTGGCACACGATAACAACCTGCTGTCAGGGACCTTTCCAAAGTGCTAAAGAGCAATGATATCAATTAAAAACTAAGGTGCTCCTGATCCAAATCATTGTATTTTCAGTTGTTTTCTAGGCATTGGAAGTATGAATAAGGATGAGGGAAGGATCGATGCCTTTGAGTTGTGGTGTTGGAGAAGAATGAACATCTCATGATTGCAAATGAACAAGTTTATCTTGCAGAAGTTCACCACGGTGTTCTTAAAGGCAAGGATGGTGAAATTTCATCTCACATACTTAGGGAACGTTGTCAGGAGCCAGGCTTTGGGAAAAAAATCATCATACTGGGAAAGGCTGATGGTGAGAGAAAAAGAACCTCAACAACATGAACAGACACAGGAGGACTGTAATTATGGGCTCTATGGAGCATGTCAGAGATCGCAAGGGTGGGGCAAGACAGGGCAAGGTTTAAACCCTGCTCACAGTGTCACTGCGTCGACCAGCAGGCCCCTTCCAAACAAGCAGGCTCTAGCCTTACATGAGTGAACAAGGCAATTAACAAACACGTATGTAATGTCCACTGGGCAACAGGCATGGTTCTAAGACTTTTACATAGGTTAATTCTTTTAATCCTCACTACAACCCCATGAAATGGGGGTCATTAGCATTACAGTATAGGTGAGAAGCCTGGATCTTATAATGCTTAAGTGTTTACCTACTTGCTAACCCAAAGGTTGGGGCCCAACAGCAACTTTGCAATCCCTTTTCAGGAGAAAAAAAAGCCTGATGATCTGCTCCCTTAAAGATACAGCCTAGGAAACCCTGTATGGCAGATCTACTCTGTCCATGAGTCATTATGAGCTGGAATCCACTTGATGGCACACTGTAATAGTAACAGAGATGAGAACTTAAGTCAGAGGATCATATACATACTCAAAAGTCTTACCTCGTTAAGACTCAAAATCTGGGCGGGGGAGGGGTGGAGGGAGACAGTATTGTTTTAAAACACTATCCTAAAAAAATTAACATCTTTGTCTTACTAGAGATTAGATTCTAGTAAGAGAAGGAAAATGAATAGATAATCCTGTATCAGGTCAGTAATCCCAAGGGGTGAGGGGGGGAAAAGAAACAGATTAAATAGAGGTTGTGAAGATGATGTCCGCACAGAGTACCTGAGTGAAGAGAGGCAGAAAAACTACAGAAATCAAACCCAGTAGTGACATGACAAGAAGTTTGGTGCCTTTGAGAGGCAAAATAGTATACGGTGCTTGAGCGAAGAACAGGTATTCACTAAAAGAACATGTTGTTGTTGTTATGTGCCGTCGAGTCGCTTGCGACTCATGGTGAACCTATATGCAACAGCCCTAAACTCTACTCTGTCCTGTGCCAATCGCACTGTCTCTGACACTCCATCCTGATTACCCCAGTCACTGAATCAAACCACCTCATAAAGGGCCTTCCCCTCCTGCGCTGTCCCTCTACCCTACCAAGTATGATGTTCTTCTCCAAGGACCGGTCTCTCCTCACTACATGTCCGAAGTATGTTAGACGGAGCCTCAGACTCCTTGCCTCCAAGGAGCCACCTGGTTTAACCCTTTCAAGGATGAATCTGTTTTCCTAGCAGTCCATGGTACTCTCAATACTCTTCTTCAACACCACAGCTCAAAGGTATAAATTCTCCTTCTATCCTCCTTAGTCATAGTCCAACTCTCTGATGCATAACAAGTGATTGCAAAAACCATGGCCTGTATCAGACACACCTTGGTCTCCAGAGAGACACCATTACTCTTTTCAGTACTTTGGAGAGGTCCCTAACAGCAGACTTTCCCATGGCAATACGCCTTTTAATTTCCTGGCTACTGGTGCCAAGAGTGTTGACTGTGGAGCCAAGCACACTAAAGCTGTGTACAATCTCAATCTCTTCACCATCCATCCTGATGCTGCCAATTGGTCCAGTGGTGAGAATCTTTGTCTTCTTGACATTTAGTGTCAATCCATATTGGAGGCTGCAGTCCTTGACCCTCTGCAGCAAGTGCTTCAGGTCCTCCTACGTTTCAGCAAGCAGGGTTGTGTCATCTGCATAACACAGATTGTCCACCAATCTTGACCCCACATTTCTCCTCATAGAGTTGAATAGAAGATTTCAAATGGCAGCATGGGATGACAAAGTAAAATGTTACAATGAAACGTGCAAGGAGTTAGAGTCAGAAAATCAAAAGGGCTGAACTTGCTCAGCATTTCTTAAGCTCAAGGAACTGAAGAACAATTCAAACCTCAAGTTGCTATAATCAAGGATGCTTTAGGCAGAACATTAAATGATCCAGGAAGTATTAAAAGAAGATGGAAAGAATATACTTTAGTCACTGTATCGAAAGGAATTGGCAGACACAGAAGAATTTCATGAAACATATGAGCAAGAGCCTATGGTGATGAAAGAAGTATTTCAGGCTGCTTTGAAAGAAATGGCAAGAAATAAGTCTCCAAGAATAGATGGTATACCAATTGACGTGGTCACCAAGTTGTGCCAAGAAATCTGGACAACAACCACTTGGCCAACTGACTGGAAGAGATCGATATTTATTCCCATCCCAAATAAAGGTGACCCAACAGTGTGGAAACTATAGAACAATCTCATTGATTTCACATGCAAGCAAGATTCTACTGAAGATTACACAAAAACAACTGTAACAGCGTATCAGCAGAGAACTGCCAGAAGTCCATCCTGGGCTTAGAAGGGGTCTAAAATAACATAGCTTCTTAGAATTCAGATTACACAGACTTTTGTTAAAATGTATGTAAACTAAGGAGCATTTTGAAGCCCCTTTAAGAGAGAAGCATTCTCATTTACTTTGCAGAATTTAAGTTTGCCTGCTGAACAAAAAGCAGACCATGGGATGACCAGGTTAGGCTCGTCCAGTTCATAATGAGGTAGGGTTGGACTCATTAACAGGTGTTAGTGGTTTCTGATACTTGGTATTCTGAAAACCACAATGACTGGACTTGCTAATGAATTTCATTTTGAGAGGTGAAGAGTTAAGTATGAATCCTCTTTTGGGGCCGGAGCTATGGGCCAAAATAATGGCGGCTCGCTATTGTTTGAGGGTTTTTTCCCCTGCAAAAAACATAACTTATCATGTTTCTCTCTCATGGCTAGATACCATCCTAAGAAACAGTTAACACCGATGTCATTGTATTAGACTTGGCCAAGTGTTGTACATATATATTAACAGCTACACTTTCACTTCTCTATGAGGTTGTTGAGGTCTAATGCTGTTGTCTTCATCTTACAAACTGGTTAAAATGGTGTTAAACAAATTGCCAAATGAAAGTCACAGAGGCAGAAATCGGCCTAAGTGGGATTCATTCTGGGTTCTAAACTACCAAACTCTTTATCAAGTCTCTACAAAAGAAAATAACAACAGCCACAATTATGTTAAGTGAGCCCAGCCTATGGTGAGGCCTTCACTCATCTAGAATTCCAACGGGTCTCTAAGTTTACCTTTTTTCTGTCTACCTACCTGTGCAAAGCTGAATATTCTTCACAAACTCCCTCCCACTTGATTTGGTTCTGACTCAATGGCAATGAGGCTTCTTAATAAAATTCCTAACATTCCAAACAGATTAAAAATGCAGAAAACCCTGAGAATCTAGCTGCTCTCTATCTATCCTAAGAAACAATAAATGCTACCCTTAGCAATAGGACTCCAACTCTTTAAGCTCCTTTTTGAGTTTGACCAAGTGTGTCACTGACAGACAATTTTCCAACTCTGAAAATTATGTAACTACCTATCCTCTTACCTCCAAACCAGCAATCACAATACCAAGACATTATTTATTCAGGCCTTTAATCAGCAGCTTTCAAAACAAATATTCACATCATGAATGAGAGGCAAAAATCAGAGGCTTTCAAATCCTTGTATTCTTCCAACCTGCCCAGTTAAAGCTGAATTTAAACCAAGTGAAATCCACTGCAGCAACTACACATCCTTGTCTAGTCACCGTGGCTAAAACCTTCACTCAATCCAAGGCCTAATTCCAGGGTGTTCATGGCTTCTTCAAGTCTCTGCATCCCTGCACAGAAAGAACCAAAAAGGGTGAGCAAGAGGAGAAAAGGTCTACTATCTCCCTCAGCATCTTTCAGGGATTCCCAGACGAACGTTTAGGGTTTGGGACCTTCTTTCCTAGGCTCACTGGGCCATCTCATTATCTACCAGGCAGAACACAGGGGAAGGACTAGTTAAAGTGGACCACCCACCTCCCCCGGCAGTCACACCTTGAGTTCTCGGATATAACACTGGTGGCATCTTGGGGCAGAATCCTGAAAGACTCAGGGGCTCTCCTAGTGATGCCAGCCAGCTCAGGGAGGAAGAGAAGGACAGAGAGGCCCTATCACCAAAGCCCCTGCCTCAGCCCTCCCCACGTCGCCACCACGTCTCTCACCTCGCTCTTGTCGAAGGCGGTGCCACTCGGTCAGAGACTGAAACATCCCCTTGGCCCGTAACTTGTACACTTCAGGACCATAGACCACCACCCTGGTGAAGTTCGAGCATTCCAGAACCTTCAGCTCGAGCATAGTCTGGCTCACTTGCTCAAGGTAGGGGATTCGGGATCCATTTGGGCCTTTTCAAGAACAGTAGATGGAGATCAGCAATGGGAGCCGGGGGTGGGGGTTGGGGTGAGTGGTGGTGCTGAAACCCAACCTCTCTGGCCAGGGCTGGAGACACACTCACCAAATACCAGCGTCAGCAAGTTCGTTGGGACCTCGAACGTCTCCGGAGCTTTCAAGTCTTCGGGGACTTTCACCCAAGGCGGGATGTCTTTCCGTTGCAGACGCCCTTCCATCTTAAAGTCTTCGAAAACAAAAGTTACAGGGCTGAGTCCGGTCTCCACTGTGCAGCCGGAGCCTCCACGTGCAGCAAGCCTATCACCTGGAGGCCCCGCCCCCGGCGTGAGTGCGTGTGGGATGCCCCGCCCCGCGCTCGCCACGGCCCAATCGGTGCTCCGCTCTCACCGGACTCCGCCTCCTCGCTGGGCTCTCACCTTGACCTGGCTGCTTTGACCTCTAGGCCACCAGGGCTCCCTCGCTGCTCCGCTGGGGCCGCCTAGCATATTCCATAAGAGGTATTCTTTCACTTGGGGCTTCACCTCTACAAATCAATACTGTTCTTTATCAGAAAAGAAATATTCACAAACTCATGATCTTGCTTCAGGGCACTAAGTGGAAATTCTAACCACTGGGTCTGCAGCTTTTGAATGGACTGCTGTACCTCTCTATCTCAATGGCGCTCTGGTGATCTAAAGGCAAGAAGCTGCGCTGCAATCTCCAAGAGACGTGATTCATGGTTCAAGTTCACCAGCTGCTAGAGGCAGAAGGATGGACAATCTCCTCCCTTGCGATTAACCTAAGGGTCAGCTATGGGTTGGTCGATGGTGCACAAGTTCAACAAAGATCCACCTAGCTAGACTTGTTGTTGTTGTTATGTGCCCTCGAGTCGTTTGCGACTCATAGCGATCCTATGTACAACAGCCCTAAACCCTGCTCTATCCTGTGCCAATCTCATTGCCTCTGACACATCCATCCCAATTACCCCAGTCACTGAATCAATCCACCTCATAAAGGGTCTTCCCCTCCTGCGCTGTCTCTCCACTCTGCCCAGCATGATGTCCCTCTCTAAAGACCTGTCTCTCCTTACAACATGTCCAAAGTATGTCAGACGAAGCCCCAGAAACCTTGGCTCCAAGGAGTAGCCTGGTTTAACCCTCTCCAGGTTGAATCTGTTTGTTTTCCTGGCAGTCCATGGTACATTCAATACTCTTCTCCAGCACCACAGCTCAAAGGCGACAGTTCTCCTTCTATCCTCCCTAGTCATTGTCCAACTCTCTGATGCATAACAAGTGATTGCAAAAACCATGGCCTGTATCAGGCGCACCTTAGTCTCCAGAGAGACACCGTTGCTCTTGAGTACTTTAGAGAGGTCCCTAACCACAGACTTTCCCATTGCAATACGTTTTTTATTTCCTGGCTGCTGGTGCCAAGAGTGTTGACCGTGGAGCCAAACAAACTGAAGCTGTGAACAATCTCAATCTCTTCACCATCCATCCTGATGCTACCAATTGGTCCAGTGGTGAGAATTTTTGTCTTCTTGACATTGAGCCTCAGTCCATATTGAAGACTGCAGTCCTTGACCCTCTGCAGTAAGTGCATGAGGTCCTCCTCAGTTTCAGCGAGCAGGGTTGTGTCATCTGCATAACGCAGATTGTTGATAGATCGTCCACCAATCCTACCGCCACGCTTCTCCTCATAGAGCCCAGCCTCTCGGATAATCTGCTCTGCATACAGGTTGAAAAGGTATGGAGATAGGACACATCCCTGGCGTACACCCTTCCCAATTTTGAACCATGCAGCATTGCCCTGCTCTGTTCTGACGACTGCCTCTTGGTCCAAGTATAGGTTTCGCATTAGCATGATTAGATGTTCTGGGATTCCCATTCTTCTCAGAGTCAGCCACAATTTGTTATGATCCACGCAGTCAGATGCCTTTGCATAATAAATGAAACACAGATAGACATTCTTCTGGTATTCTCTGCTTTTAGCTAAGATCCATCTAACATCAGCTACAATATCCCTAGTACCACGACCCCTTCTAACCCCAGCCTGGACTTCTGGCACTTCTCTGCTGATGTATTGTTTCAGTCGTTTTTGGATAATCTTCAGTAGAATCTTGCTTCCTGGACTAACATATAAAAATGACTTGATGGACCCTGGCTCAAGCCACTTGGTTAGGCTCTGCTGTAAATTAACATTTTGCTTGAAGTGATGTACCCACCAGATGAGGGTGTGATTTTAAAGTTTTATTTGAGGAAGTTAAGCTTTTACAAATACCACAACTCATGATATGCAAGGAAGAAAATGATAGTTAGCCGTAAACACTTAGAGAATGCCACCTGGGAGCATAGCTGGTGAGGAGTTGCACTCCCAACCCAAAGGCAAGCTGTCCTAACCCACCAGCTGCTTCTCAGATGGACAATCTCTCTTGAAATTTAAACTTCTGAAAGCTCACTGGGAAGTCAATTATGAATTGCATCCAAAGTGAATAGCAATGAGAGAGAGAAATCGATCTTCATTTAAGACCAAATTACATCACCAAGATGGAAACACTGACATGGTCTAGAATCAAAAAAGGACTTTGTCGAGGTTGTATCCTCCCTCCATATCTATTCAGTGTGTATGCTGAGCAAATCATTCAAAAAGTTGGACTCTATGAAGAAGAATGTAGCATCAGGATAGAGGCTACAATGTTGATGACAATAACCTGCACTATGCAGATGACACAATCTTGCTTGATGAAAATGAGGATTTGAACTGCGTGCCACAGAAAATCAAAGACCCTAATCTTCAGTATGGATTGTATTTCAATGCCAAAAAGACAAAAATGCTCACTACTTGGCTGGTAAGCAATATCATGGTAGTTGGAGAAAAGATTGAAATTGTCAGTGATTTCATCTAGCCACCAGCAGTCATTAAATCAAGATATGTTACAATGGGAAATTCAGCTGTCAGCGACCTCTCCAAAGTACCGAGGAGCAATGATGTCAGTTTAAAGATTAAGGTATGCCTGATTCAGGTCATGGTCTTGTCAGTCACTTGCTATACATCTGAGAGCAGGACAATAAGTAACAATCACAGAAGAAGAATCAAAGCCTTTGAGCTGTAGTGTTGGAAGAGTACTGAATATCTCACAGACTGCCAAAAGAACAAATGGATTATGTCTTGAAGTAAAGTGTGACCAGAGTGCTCCATGGAGGCAAGGATGATGAAGCTTATTCTCACATACTTTGAATATGCTGTTGTTAGGTGCCTTCAAGTTCAGTGATAGTGGCCCTATAAACAACAGATCTGAATCCTGTCCTACCTATCCTGCACTATCCTCCTTTCTGAAATACTCAAGACCATTGCTGTAGTCACTAGACAATCCATTTGGTTGAGAATCTTCCTCTCTTTTCCCTCTCCTTCACCTTTTCAAACATGATTTCCCTTTCCAAAGTATAGCCTCTCCTACCAACATGTGCGAAGTATCTGAAAGGAAGCTTTGTCATCTTTGTCTCCAAGGAGCACTCTGGTTGCACTTTCTCCAAGATATATCTATTTGTTCCTTTGACAGTCTGTCAGATATTCAGTACTCTTCTCCCACACCACAGTTCAAAGGCATCAGTTTTCCTCCTGTCATCCTTATTCAATGAAAGGCCATGTTGTTAGGAGGGGCTATTCCTTGAAAGGGTGCATCATGCTTGGAAACTTGGAGGGTTAGCAAGAGAGGAAGATCCTCGATGAGGTGGATTGAAACAATGACAGAAGCAATGGGTTCAAGTATGTAGAGATGATCAGAATGGCAAAAAGGACAGGGTTCAGTTCTGTTTGTTGTTCATAAGGTCACCATGAGTCGTACTTGACAATACATAACAACATCATAAGGGTACAGATTACTGGTTTGTCAATATAATTGGGTGGGGGAAATGGGAATTTTTTAGTAATAGGCTGAAGACACTGAAATCGAACATAATTCAAATAATCCTGAAAACACTTCAGGACAATGAACAAAATTTTAGTAAGGAGTTGTTGTTATGTGCCATTGAATCACCTGTGACTCAGTGACCCTATGTACAGAAGCTCTGAACTCTGCCCTGTCTTAAGCCAGTCTCATTAACTCTAACACACCAATGCCCATTGCCCCAGTAGCTATTATCAATCCATTTCATCTGGGGTCTTCCTCTCCAGTGCTGTCCCTGCACCCTTCCAAGCATGATGTCCTTCTCCAAGGACCAGGCTTTCCTGTCCATGTGCCCAAAGTATGTAAGATGGAGCTTCAAAATCCTAGCCCCCAAGGAGAAACATGGTTTTACCCTCTCCAAGAGAGACCTTTTTGTTTTCTTGGCAGTCCATGGTATGTTCAAGACTCTTCTCCAGTACCACAATTCAAAACCATTGATTCTTCTTCTATCATTCTTAGTCATTGCCCAGCTCTCTGACGCATAGGAAGTAACTGCAAAGACCATAGACTGGATTAGGCGCACCTTAGTCTCTATACTGACATCATTGCTTTTCAGCACTCTGGAAAAGTCCCTGACAGCAGATTTTCCCACTGCAATTCATCTTTTTATTTCCTGAGTACTGGTGTTAAGAGTGTTGATGTTGAGCCAAGCAAGCTGTCATTATGTCTCTTCGCCATCTATCATCATGCTGCCAGTTGGCCCAGTGGTGAGAATCTTTATCTTCTTGATGTTGAGCTACAATCCATATTGAAGACTATATTCCTTGACCTTCAGTCAAGGCTTCAGTTCCTTCTCAGTTTCAGCAAGCAAGTTTGTGTCATCTGTATAGTCCAGGTTGTTGATGAGTCTCCCTCCAATCCTGATGCCACATTCCTCCTCATAAAGTCCTGCTTCCTGAATGATCTGCTCTGCATATAGATTGACATTATAATATTTAGAAACTTCTATAATGCATCATGTTAATGCTTTTCTTAGTATTCTAGAAACTGTCCTTGCTCTCAGAAGAAACATGTGGTAAGTATATGGGGTGAATTATGATATTTGCAATTTACTTGGAGTCAGTTCAGTTCTCTTTCCTCAAAAAAATCTTTTATGTATCTGTATGCGGGGGGCATTGAGTGTCAAACATGTTCATTCCTCCTCAGCCCCCTGCTGAGAATTTGCCTTTGGACCCTAAGTTTTTGGGTTTTCCCCAGAATTTGTCTTTCAGTTCTAGTTTTAAGTTGTTGTGTTGTTATATGTGGTCGAGTTGGAATAGACCCATAGCTGGAGGTGAATCAAATCTACATTTTAACAAGAT